CAGCACCGGGGAGACAAAAGCAGGCAGGGGATGTGGTGTTGGCCACCCAACCCATTACAGCCTTCATCAGTTGCTCGCTAAAGAGCACAGACCCAAAAGGCCTTTAAAGGCTACACGGGGGATCTTTGTCATTGTTAAAATCAAAGGAAAATGAGTGCTCTATCGTGTTGTGAAGTCAATAGATGGCCAGCATGCCGTCGGCCTAAATAATATCGCTTGCAGTTCTCGACTGGCAGATGCAGCAATCGCGCTCCAGAGTTACGCTTCCACAGAAAGTGACACCTGCCAAAGTGATCCCTACACCAAGTCAATTGTAGTGAATTAATCATAAAGATTGGTCAATTAATCAATTAAACCAATCACTAAAGAAGATAATCGATAAAGAAATACATCTAATTTGTTTATATTATAATGTGTAGGACAAGTTTCTGCGCTTGTGAGTTTGAAAGATATCTCCTGCAGTGGAAGGAAATCAGCCAGAAGAAACGACACTCGCAAGAAGAATGGTACAAGACCAGAGGGCACGAAACACGGACGCCCTAAGTGCTCGCAAGAGACTTGCCAACTTCTGCCGGTTGCGGTGTATTAGTTCAGGTTGCTGCTCGTGGTGCAATATCGATGGCACGCATCGAGCGGACAACAGCTGCTTGTGCTGCCCTCATAGCCACAGCACCGGCCCCATACCCAGAGCCGGGGCGCCACACGCAGAGCAGCGACCCTTCCAAACTGCGGCTCGTCACTGCCAAATGACGTGGGCGCGGATGAGGGTCAATGGAGCCGTTCGTGAGCAGATACTGCAATCGGTGTGCGGCGCGCCTCTCGAGCGCGTCTTCTGTGGCTTCGCGGTGCACCCTGGGAAATCCGGGGGAGGGCGATGGTGGATGCAGAGGTCTCTGCACGCGAGTACGTCCCCTCTGGATTAATAGCCCTTGGCAGATGATACAAGAATTTAGCGAAACCCATCAGCTACGCCTCCTCCACCCTCCTCTAAACTCTTATGTCCATCCTCCCCATACATTTACACGCTTTGGTGAAACTGGAAATGAAATGGGGAGATAATGCTATCGGTCACATCATTTAGATGTAAATAGCCCCGAAATGACTTGGCTCATTACATTCCGCACACCCCCATCCTTGATTTGGCAACGGAGATTTAAAAAAATCTGTAATGAAGGTTATTATATTTTTAGGACTCTGCCGAGCTGAAGATCACAGTTAAAGACTTCTGGGAAGTAATAATTACGCAAATCTTGCACCATCGAGGTTCGTAATGTTGTAACGCATGCATGCATTTACAGGCCTGGTCTCCGAGTCTTGGTAGCAGCAAGCATAAAAACTAACGAGGCCCCTATCTACCCCTTGTATATACAGGAGTCCTTACCTGGCTATAAATACTTAAAGGATCCCATTGATTAATTGATATATTCTGTTTCTGTAGCAGCAATTTACATTCAAATGAGTACACGATTCTGCAATTATTTAACCCATGTCTGTGCTACTCTCAAGAGGCCCCTGTGATCAACAGAATCTGCTGATGGCAGTGAGCACCCTACATATTTAAATGCCCCAATGACCACCTGGCCCATCGAACTGAACTGTCCCCCTAGATTCAGTGTTGCCTCTCCACCTACTCTCTCCAGGATGGCATCGATTGTTCACCACGTGCCAAAACACACACACACACACAAGACAACGATCCCCCATCTAGCCTCATCGTGCATATGGGAAAGTACGGATTGCGGGCACATAGTAAAAAGTGAGCACTGCACATGGGAAGGGTGTTGTGGCAAGGGCCCAGGTTCCTTCTCGCCTTTCATCTCCGGTAAGTCCAGGAGAAAGGATGACACACACCACCCCCGCCACTGATGTTATCTGTGGCCGGGAATCAAACTCGAGCCGCGGGTTTCATAGCACGGTGTGTGAACCACCGCATCACGGCTCCACGCACGCACACATACACACAAGTACGCATACATACACAGGCAAACGCACTACACGCACGCACACCAACACACTCTCGCCTTACCGCCGCTCTCCGCGGAACAACAGGAATGCCACCTTCAATGTCAACCCCATGAACTTGTCCGCTCGCCCGACAACGCCCGTAGTTTCCAGGACTCCCGTGTCGTCTCCCACGCCGAGGAGGAGCCAACAGAAGTGGTGGCGACGGCGGCGGGCGCGGGGACATGAGCGCACGGCCGCCCCGTCATAAATCACGTTCCATCTTCTTCCCCACGTGTTTCGGTTGCGACACTTCACTCCATCCGGACACACGTCGCCCCACGCCCCTCCCCCACCGCCACACAGCTCTCCCTCCCCATCTCCTTTACTACCACCCCCCATCCCCTGGGGCATGCCTGGGCGCAACACACAGTATCGCTGACAACAGCTGTTGAATACAACCGTGAGTTGATTGTTGTAGGAAAATTAGCCTATGCTGGCGATCTTTCATTGCTGGGTGAAATTGAAAAACGGGCAAGCGAAGACCAAACAGTTTAATTTGATTGACTTCAGCAGACGAGAGCATGTTGCGATTCACAATCGCTTTGTGAAGCCAAATTTTGACAACCGTGCAAGGAATTTTTTAATTCTTCTTTTGATAACGTTAACTGTGGGTGTCATTTTGATCCACTGTAATTTGAGCGATGACACCTCGCTGCCCTGCATCGGTGGTGAAAAATGAGAGGCACGGCGCGAGTGGGAAACGCGCGATTGACCCCGCGCGTACCCACCCACACCCTGGGCACGCGCGAGGTCGTTCGGCACATCGTGAGTCAACCCCTCGATGAGCCGCTACAATTCGGGGGCAGCGATTTTCGATTCGAGAGTTAAATCCCCCGGTATGCTCATATCATCGAGGCAGAATCAGGAACCGCTCAATTCGATTCCTGAAGAAGGAGCCAGGACGTGGAGCCAAACGTCGGACATTGTGCGGCGCCAAGCCTCTCTACAGCTCTGTACTGCCCATTACGTCTAAATTGTACAAGAGCATATACTAGACTGCCAGTACACTCACTCCGATTAAGAACCAGGCTACAGTCTACATTAGTGTTTTTTTATTCACTTTATATTTTATTATTATTCTATCTACGTGACTTTACCGAAAGAACCAAAGACTAAGAGCATATAATTTGTTTATTAATTGCAGAGGCCGTAAATAATTGATTCTCACCCACGTCATTTGATGCATATATCATGAGCGTAAGAATCGCTTGATGAAATGATGCAGTGTTACTTGCCTAGATGTCTCGCACAAACTCATCTTGCACAGTCAACGCTCTGGGCTTTGATGGCGATAATGGCCTAAACACATAGTGCGGTCAGAGACTGCACCAACCTGCTTATTCGCATGCTATATATGAAATGCAATGTGGCTTCATAAATCAGGAGGAGGAATGCGTGGAACTTACGTTGTGGGTAGAACTCTGACCAACGGCGTCAGCTCCCCCTCAATATGCTTCGAGCTCTGATAAATGCGGTGACATCAACATTTTTCAGCCCTTGCCTGTGTCATTTATGGATGGGGCCCCAGTACTTCAAAATTGACTGTTAGCAGGCCCTCGATGCAGAGAAAATCGCCATTTAAAAGAACAAAAGTTTTTATTTACACAGCCCATCAGCGGTTAAAGTTGCCGGTTTTGTTTTGACCGCAACATTTTCTCAACAGGTTACAATTGCGGCCGTCACCCACGTCTGGCCGCGGTGTCAGACGTGCAAAGGGAGCGTTCCGTGGAAGAGCCCCAAGCCACGCGTGGCAGATTCTCACGGAGCCGTTCACACGTCCTTAGCGGGGTGGAAACATGCCGGAGAGACAGGACGTGCAGATTCCAAAATAAATCATCAAAATCACCGAGATACTGTAACAGCGGCGACGAAGAGAAGCGACCGGCGGTAGCGCAACGTAACATTTTTTGTTTTAAAAACCGACCGCTGTTTAAACTGCGAGGTGCACTCCACGCGTGACGCTGCGCAGGCTCCGAGGAAAGCAAGCGGCGGCACCCGTGAGCAGCTGCTGTTTTAAATAAAAACAAACTGATTTAGCGCTACTTAGCGTCACGTTCTGTCAGCCTGGCTCCCTTCTCTCCCAGTCTTTAGATCTCCACAGTCATAACAAACCTCCCAAGCCGTGAGGACATGGGAAAGGCAGAGCGTGCGCGCGTGTGCACGTGTGTTTTCTGCACACACACGTGTGCACACGCGGACAAAGGGGGGGGGTGGGGGAGAGTGACCTCGGGCCTGAACAAGGTGAGCACTGTCGCTGGTCCCCATCTCCGCGGCCGCCGTCGTCATGGCAACAGAGAAACCGTGACGAGGTGGGGGCCGTGGGCTGTGCTGGGGGAGCAGTGGTTTGGCGTGCGGCTTATCAGGAAGGCTGCGGTGGGGGGGGGGGGGGGAGTGTGGCAGGGATTTATGTTGAAATAAATAAATAAACTTGAACTTGGACCCAAACCAAATTGGTTGGCGAGCTTCAAATCACTCGCTGGCAGGCACTGTGCGAGCAGCACCAACACATTCGCCACGGCCAACAAGGATGCACCGTCCCTGGCAAGCGAGCCTCACCCATGCCACCCCCTTCCTCCCCACACTCCAAAACCAACGACGACGACGAGAGTGGAGCAGCAGCAGCAGCAGCAGCTCCCTCCGTGACCTCTACACCGTCGCACGGCAGGCGAGATTTATCCACGCCGGTTGAGGCCATTCGCCGGAACAGTGGACTTCCTCGCAGCCCATGCCGCTACGTACACAGTGCTGCACACACGCACAGGGCATTTGCCGTGCTTTGGCCTTCGTCAATCAACACGTCCCACTCGCGTTCCCCGTAACCCTCAAGTGGCTCGCCACCGTCGCGCGAGGACACTCCGCCAAACCGCTCTCGGCGTGTTTTTTTTTATCTTTCGTTCAAACGACTCGAGGCACTCCGACGGCAAACGATAGCCGCTGGGAACTCACGAAACCAAACCCTCGCGCCGCCGCCGCACGTGTCGCTCATTGCTGCTCACCGCTCGACGTGCAGAGGAGAGGTTGCCATCGCCTCGAGATTTCTCTTTGTTTGAAGGCGGACGCGGAGCTTGCGATGCATATCGCGGCGGAGACGACTACGTGAGCTGCCTGACAAAGGGACACCCGCCGTTACACAACGCCATAGCAGCAGCAGCCTCATCAGTCTCGCTCTCTCCCTCCCATCCCCTCACCTCGCGTCTCCGCCACGGCACGCACACACTGCGCCTTTTATTCGCCGTTTCCCCCTCTGTTGCCCTTACGGTGCTCTCGTTTGATCAACGTCTCGCCCTCTCTCGGTCACTCGTCGCAGCGTCCCTTTGCCGTTTCGTCCATTGTATCGTGCATCCCTCTTCCTCCGTGTCTCTTTACTCATTCTTATCCAGCGCTCGCTCTCACCCGCTCTCTCTCTCTCTCTCTCCTCGTGTGTCTCCCTCTCTCCCTCTCTCCCTCACAGCTTGTTTTGCCTTTCATTACATTTTTTTCCCCTACGCAGTGGCAGGAAGGCAGACAGGCCAGGGAATGGTGGTGACAGCCGCTATTGATGAAGTCCCCTTCCCGCCGCCGAATGTCAAACACGCATGGTCCGCTCCCACGTCCCACAAAACCCACCTCGGCGGCACCGAGTTATTAATGCGGCCACTTCTAACGAGCCAGGACTATTTGCAAGCACACAATGACCGCAGGAAAATCACAGAATGAGTAATTATTCCAACACCTGCCTATCCAGCCCAGCCATCTCAGCCATTAATAGTCACATTGCAAGCCAGCCATGTAAAATGAGGCAATCTTAGGATTAATGCAAAGGCAGAGAGGGGCGGTGGGGTGGGAGAGTTCATAACGATAATACACGTTGTGATCATTGGCAGCCCCTTGTCAATGCAAATGCCAGATGAAGGCCTCCCCACGCCGTGTTGGGGGTCGGGGTTGTTGGGTCACGCTGGCTGGTGAACCACACTCAGATCACCAGATTCACAAAGCAGCGAGCTACTGCACTACTGCACCAACGCACCAACTCAGGGAGGTGATGCCAACTCACTTTCTTGCAAGAGAGACTTGGTGTCTCATCAGGCTCTGCCCATCATAACGACCATCATCATTCCACTGCTAGATGAAGGCCCTCCCCACACCGTCATTACCCATCACGGTACACTGCTGTTACCATCCTTCTCACTGCTGCACATGAACGGAGATCACCACTCCATCTCCACGGTGGTCATACTCTTGGATGCATTCCTCCTTAAGTGATTCATTATTTTGGTACCAATTATGACCAACAGGCCCGGAGAATAGAAATCACATTTGGTCTGGCAAAAGCGTGTCTCATCATTACAAAGCAACATTGAGCTCAAAGCTAAACATAGACCGAATTGAAATAAAGAATTCTGAAATCACTCGTGGTTTTAGAACAATCCTTGTGGTGGTTGAAAAAAAAAAATCAAACCAACGATGCGATGGCTTAGCAAGATTCTGCATACAATTTTGGTTCAAGGTAATTATGTTTTTAAATTGCGGTGAATAATGGCGCCGACACTGACTGCAACAGTGACCTGAATCCATGACATTGAGCACATACACAGCGAAGAGCATCAACACTTACACACGCCATTTCGGAGCGTGTTTTGTGAGCTTAAGAATCAACATGTCTAGAATGAATCGATGTATCGCTCCACTCCTACAGGGCACGCACGCTCGTAGGCCCACGATGCAATTTAGACGCCAGGCAAATCTCACAAGAGCCACCACGGGGCATGTTCCACAAGATTTCCTGTGCAAGGCAGCCTGCCCATCATGTGTGTCATGTGATCTATAGTTATCACAAGCCACTGAAATCACCTGTCAGCACCACACTCTTCACGACAGCCCCAGCAGCTGAGGCAAGTCCTCTTCCTTCTGAACCTGACCCCCATTGCACGCTCCTCACACCCCGTATCTCTTCACCCGGAGACCGGTTAACATTTTACGTCTACAGTTACGCAGCTGTGAACGTTCAATACATGCTAACATTTCTGAATGCATCGAAAATCCTGATGATAATTAATCAATGTGTCCTCGGTTAATAATAAAAATAGTAATTGTATAATGACTTGAAATTGTTCTACTAATTTGTGTGCGTGCGTGCGATTCGAGATGGCAGATACGAGCACCGGGTGGCCAACCGCACGGAAACCGCTCGGCTCTGGCCCCTCTGCTCCGGCCGACCTTGCCGAGGCCACGCAGAGAGTTCTGCACGCTGGCCCCGTGTGTGGCAGCGCCTATCGTGCGAACTCGGCTCTGACGCTCTCAAGAACGCGAATGATAACGCCGCACGCGGGCTGGCGGCATCACGAGGCCTTGCGGCGAGCGGGCCCACGGGTGGGCAGCAGATACGCAGTGGGGCGCGTGACTTTCACCACTTCTCATTGACACGAGAGGCAACTTCGCTTGCTCGGCTCCTGCCAGACTCCGTACGGCTCTCCGAATACAAAAAATGTTTTTCATTGAAAAAGTCAGGGTGTGCTCTGCATGAAGCAAGGCGTTATAAGTTAAGATGATCACTCTATCCGTTGTTCGACGGCACTGCATTGCTGACGGAGGCAGCGCAATAATATTAAGGCCATTCTTTAGCAGTCGATCACGAGTAATCACGGCACGAGGGGCGTGCGAGGATTTCACGGCGCCCCACGCGGACGCGCCATCGCTGGCGACAACACAACGAGTACAACAAGCGCACAGACGCACAGCTCCGAGGCTCTCCCTCGAGCAGGCGATCGAAGCCGAACGGATGGAGAACCGCTGGCCCCGCACCGTGGCCAGAAGCCCTGACGCTGTAGTGGCAGCTGGGGCCTTTGATGTGGAAACCCCCGCGTCAGCGACCGCGGCTTATCGCAGTGGGCCAAGCCATCTCAAGAGTGGAGCACGAGGAGCCTTTGAAAGGGGGCGGGGGGTGGGGGCGGCTGCAGTGGGGCCTGCGAGTGGCGCTGTCCAGGCGGCGCCGCCCAGCTCGTAGCTAATTTAAATCCGCTGCTAGCCTCAGCTACGAGCCGCCTGCGCTTACAGGAGGCCAAAATAAGAACGCGCCTAGCGGGTTTCTGCAAGGACACGCACGCGGGATTTTTTGTGTAACTCCTTTCTGAGGGCACATTTTTCAAGACCATATTTTTGGTGTCTCGTGAGTTTTTTATTTGTTTGAGCGCGTTCTTTATTTATTTATTCCTTTATTTATTTTTGAGAATGGGTGAGTTATCGTAATCCATAATACGAAACCTCATAAATGTTAACTTTATTGCTCGAAAGCTTATTAATATTTGAAAGAATGTTAAATGCACCAGGCAGAGTCAAGTGTACATGTGTAATATCTGGCAATCCTCCAATGCATTTTATAAGTATATATTATTGTTATTACCAGCGCTGTGGAGGGAAAATAAAGCCATCAGTCAGGTCCTTTGCCACCAAAAGATTCGCGTCTAAGAAAGAAAATAGTCCGCTGAATAATGTGTGGCTTCACAAGGTAATTGCTCACTCACCACATGAAAGCAGGCATGAGAGAGCACGGCTGTTTAATGAGTTTTTTCAGTACGAGACATCATCTTCAAAATGAAATAAATAAACCTCAAACCATTAAAATGGGACTATGCTTTTATTACCTCTGATCTGAGCTACCGCAAGCAACCCCGAGCTAAATAACTTAATGAGACAATATCTGCCTTATGGATGGCACAATTGGGATATTATAACAGACAACTATTAATACTGGGCCATACGGCAGCATGGCCAGGTTAAAAACAACTGACTTAAGTAAAACAATTTCACGGCTGGCTGGGCCAGCTGCTTAAAGGGATTCTTGTGTCAGTCATGAGCCTGTATCTCAGAGATAGTGGGTTCAAGCCCTGGGTCAAAAAGGTTATCCCCGTCCTTGCCAAGTGCAATGGTCTCAAGCCCAGTCAGCCACGACAAAGAGGTGCTCCTAAACGTGATATTTACACTAATTAATTATTGGACGTACTTAAGTCAGAGAGCAAAACGGGCATCTTAAAGTGGGAGAAATATAAAGCCAAGTGCAGCTACAGATGACCTACTGAACGGTAGCACAGAACTCTGTGAATAGGTCTCTGTAAAGTGTTTCCCAATGTGGGAAAGGATGTATCTGTGGAGGTATGTGTGAGTGTATTATTTCCAAGGCATGATTTATATTCATTATGGGTGTGAGATTTGACATTGTGTGCAGTGTACTGTATGCGCAATATATGTAGACTCTTCGTCAAATGAGTACCTGGTGCGGTGTGTAAACATCGCCACTGGGGAGACAAAGGCGGTCGGGCATGGTGCTGCCCACCCACCCTCTCGTGTACCATACCAGCCTTCATAGGTGCTCGCTAACAGCACTTGCCCATACGTATTTTAACACTATAGGGGGATCTTTGTCTTTGTATGCACAATCTAATGCAATCTGCATTCATATAGTGCATGATATGACAGTATGGGGTGGAGCAATTGTCTGTTAGAGCACAGCGTTATGAACCCAGAGACCTGAGTTTGATTCCTGACCACAGTTAACAGATTAAAGTCCAGGGTCAACCCCTTCACCAACATGCAGTGTGACCTGCATGATTAAATAAGGTCAAACGAGCCACGTGACTGACACAGCATGGGTAAAACTTCATGCAGCAGTGGAATGTCAATGGACTGTAATCATGCACGTAAAGAAAATTACCAGGACTGTAAAATAAACCATCTCCTATTCGACCAGAATGCACTCGGAAGTGACATTAATAATAATGTATGCTACCATTACAGGCTCTCATCATCCTGCAGTATGTATCCAAGCCTGCATTTATTAATGACGCTGTGAAGTCGTGTGCCGTGTTCATAATTCAACATTGATCATTTACAACTCCCCACCCCTTTCATCTTCGTGGAGAGTGGTCTGGCGCGGGAATCTTCCGGCAAGTTTTGCCGGGACAGGAATTAGCCCGGGTGCGATCCGCAGGTTAAACGGTGTGCGCTCACTCGATCAACACAAGCAGCCGAGGGGTTGATTTGCCAAGCCCCGGGGGGATGAGAGGGGCACGGTCAAACAAGCAAGCAGGGCCAGTTAGCGTGGCCCTGACTTTGCCATCTTTTCAACAAGAGCATCCCACAGAGCGCGTGTTTCAAACGCACTCCCCTTTGATTCTCCGCGGGGTGGAGGCGACCCACACATTCTGTGAGCAACTTGCATAACAAACGGTGTTTCTCCAGGCGTGCGTGGCCACGGCCCTAACGCTGATTAAAGGTCCGGGGAGTTTTTTTTCTTCTTCAATTGTTCCAGTAACACACTGGAGTTACCCATGCAAGTGGCGTGAGTGAGCGAGTGAGTACGAGGAGCGTGCGTGCGTGCGCGTGCATGCGCGCGTGCGTGACGGCGAGGGTAGGAAATTAAGTCACCACTTGTTCTTTGCGAACTTCTGCACTGTTTCCCTGCCATGATCAGTTTTAAGATTTCCAGCACACACATTTCAATTTTGCTCAATGCATGCACATGTGAATCCCTTCTTGTCAAATCCACTCATTGATGGGTGAGATTAAACTAGTTTTTATTTTGCTAG